TATGTAATTTAAGTAAAAAAAGACAAAAAAAAAAAAAGAAATTAACTTAAGTTTTAGTTTAATTCTTTTATTTGTGTGATTTAAATGTAATATATTTTATTTTTCAATTTAAAATATAAACATTTATCTTGTATTTATGTTTTAAAATATAAATAAATAATTTTTAATCATCAATCTTAAATTAATTATGAAATTAAAGTTATATAAAAATATAAAAAATGAAGTGGTTTCACATAAGTTTTAATTTTAATTGTCTTATTTATGTGACTTAAATGTAATATATTTTATTTTTTAACATTAAAATATAAGCATTTACCTAGTATTTATATTTTAAAATATGAATAATTAATTTTTATTCATCAAACTTAAATTAATAATAAAACTAAAGTTATATAAAAATATAAAAAATTAGAATGAGGGTGGTGATTAAAGTATAAAATGTTTATTTTAGTCATTTTATCATTACATTAAATTAAAAGATCTTTTATAAAAAAATTTACCAAACACTTTTACACTTTAAAAGTCCTTCAATAAAAAATTTTACGAAACATTTCAAACTTCTCAAAAACAGCATTTTTACAACAAATTCTCTCTCTAACAGGACTTCTATTAAAAGTTCCAACCATACCAAACGGGTTCTAATGTTGGTGTAGGATACTAGGATTAGGGATGTCAACTGGCCGCGCAGGGTCGGGGAGTCCCTCCCATCCCCGTGAATGGTAGCAACGGGGATCCTTGTGGGGATTTTTAACAAAGGACAAATTTTGTCGCCCATTCCTGTTTTTTGTGAGGAATGGAGATTCTCGTGGGGAATGGGGATCCATGTGGGGATCCTCATTTCCCACCAATTAATATAAAAAAATAATTTTTTTACATATAATTAATTAATATTCAATTATAATGAATAAAATTTTAAAAATTCAAGTATAATTAATTAAAATTCTTTAAATATAAATCTAAACATAAATTATCCAAACATAAATAAAGATTAATCCAACATAAATAACTAAAAAGTTAATAATAGATTGAAAAAAATTGGATTAAGTTTAAATTTTATTGAATTAGATTTGGATTTAAAAGTTGAATTAACTTTAAAATAAAATTAATTTACATATTTTTTAATTTTTTGCTGGGATGGGGATTCCCACGAATCTCGTGGGATGAGAAAAATTCCTTATAAATTTTTCCCGCCTCGCAAGGAGGAATATCCCTCCTCATTCCGTGATAGGATTCCCACGGGACCCCATAAAGATCGGAGCAAATTGTCATCCCTAACTAGGATCCGTATTTTCATGGGCCTTCTCTACCTACCCAACTGATTACGTAAAGATAAAAAGAATGGAAAAAAAATATTATATATTAGCATTATTTTAAAAGGATAATGTTTATCCGCCTTATCTTCTAAGAGCATGTTTGGTGAAACTTGTAAGAGTTTCAGTTTATTGACACTAGTCATGTTTCATTAATTTAAATTTTTCTCTTAAAAATTTATATTTTTTAATTTCTTTTTAACATTAAAAAGACCTTAAATACTAAATTTTGAAAACCTTTAAATTTGTGATTTTTATAAATTTTCTTTTTATTTACTTTTTACTCACTTTTTTTTTATTTCTAAAAATAATTTTTAAATATTTCTTCTAATAAAAATTTAAATTTATCATTCATAAACAGTAAAAAAAAAATAAAAACTCTTACAAGTTTCACCAAACATGATCTAAATATCCGTCTTACCTCTTAAAAATTAGGAGGAATATTATTTCAAAATTACGTTATTTTAATAAACACTTATTGAAAAAGATTAAAATACATTATTTTTAAAACATGAATTATGATGTTTTTTATCATTTTTCCTCATAATTTTTAGAGATAGGGTAAACAAGTATTAACCCCTTATTTTAATTTGTTTATAACTTTTCAATAAGCAATAAAAGCTCTAATTGATTTTTTCATTTCTTTTATAGAATTTTTCTTGTTCTTAATAAAATTAGCCAATATCGATCACGGTTAATTAAGACCATTAGGGGTGAGCATTTTCAAATATAGGTTCGATATAAAATATATTTGATACTTAATTTAAAAATTTTCAAGTGCAGTTTTTTAGATTTAGTATTGTAGCTAAATATTTGGATACTTATAATTAGTATTTAACCTAATAAGTATCAAGTAAGTTACGAATATATACTTCTATATTTGTTGAATGATAGTTTGTTTAAATTTTTTTTTTAAATTAGAATTTAATAAAATATTATTTACTTTTAATATAAATATAAATAAAATTAGTAAAATTTTAATAAAATATTATTTATTACAATCTAGACTTAAACATAATTTAAAATAACAGTAAAAAATTAAAATTTGACCAAAACTCAAATCTACGTACCATTAAAAAAACTAAACTCAATTAAATACTTAATAATAAAGAATGAAAAATATGTACAAAAAAATAAAGAATGAAAATAAATTAAATAATATAATGAAAGTCTTTCAAAGAAGATGTCCATGTTTTTGGACTCATAGTTCCCCTAATCCTTTGTCTTGATTTGTTAAAAAGGGATAGTGACGGATGGTATTATATCTATTTTGATATTTTGATTTTTATGCTTTTGGGTTATGATTCTTATCATATTAATTAAATTTGGAATTTGAAACTAAAAAATCATTTATACAATAAACAAAGACTATAACTCGAAAATTATTAATGGAAAGGTAAAATAAAAAATAAAAAGCTAAAAAGAATCAAATTTCCAAGTTATAATTACTCACCATTTGCCAAAGAGTACAAGAAAAGGAAAAAGTTATTGATTACGTGTGTGATATGTGTTTGATTTAAGATTTGTTATTTATAAATTGTGTGTGATTTTTTTTTATTTTAAAAAATTATTTTTATTATATAGATATTAAGTATAATAAGTATATATAAAATTTCAATTAGACAAATACATGTAATATGTTAATTAAATAAAATAATTAAATTAATTAGGTAAATAGTTTTAAAAATTTTAACTTATTACTTAACTTAATATTTATGGTATATTATTTTCATACCCTTTACTTATCCTTTTTTAACAATTCAGATAAAATACTTATCTAAAAAGGTAAAATACTTATAAATAAGGGGCATATTTGTTCCCAATGCTCACCCCTAAATATGATTAATTCCGAAAATGGGGTTAACTAAAAAACAACAAAATTAAGGTTAGATGAGCTGCTACCAACTATGCAAGCTTTAGCTTTTAGGAAACAAACAGATCGTGTCCGTGACTTCCAATGTCCGGAGCTGGCTGTCTTGTCTGAAAGCCATCCTTTAACTAATTTTATTTCGTTGGGTTATCTATCTCTCTCCACCCTCCTTGTCCACTTTCTTCCCTTGTCCAAGATTTTCATTGGGTTCGTTTTATCAAATTCAAACTCGTGGAAAATGAACCTAATCAACCAAAAATGACAGTCATCCTGTAGAATATTATGGAAAAGACTGTTATAACTGTGATTAATACCCTAACGTAAGTCCAATTTGCCCAAAGTATAGTACTGCCACACTTTTCTATGAGTGCTTTTCTTAATTAATTTGCATCATATTACTCCAGTTACTAAAATGGAGGTTATTCATTCATGATTATTTTTAGTTTAGGGACATATGGATATGTTTGCCTTTGAATGAATGGATGGTACATAAAAAATGTTACTACAAAGGAGGAACAAATAATACTATAGTTCAAGAGATTGGTTTTGCTGATAGGAGCCTGTCATGGTCTCTCTCTCATGATCTAAAAAATCAAACCATTTTCAACTCCTTAAGCATTTAGACCAATCTCATGGCTATGGCCAGAGACAAAAGTTTGATTTATAAGAAATCATTGTAAACAACTTTACAATTATCTCATTTCAATGAAATGCTAACTTTATTGCAATCATCATATATAAATATACCCACCCCATCATATTTAACAAAAGCTTGTAAAGAGGAGTAGGGTACGTACTTTGTAGTGCATAATTAATTAAAGATCCCATTACCTATTTTCAAAAAAAAAAATAATAATAATAATTATAGATCCTGTAATCCTACTACTATCTGTGAAATTAATTTTGGAGATCTTTCTGTTATTTATAACACAACATCATAAAATAACGCATTTGATCATTAAATATTTGAAGTAACACATGAGGGAAAAGGTAAAGAAAAGTAGTGTTTGTGGATGCCATCTCATCCTTTTTAACCCAATAGTGGGAGTTGGGGGGATCAGGTGTACTTTACCCAATACAGTTGGACCAAACCCATGGCTAACCACCTAGTCAATTGAAAAATGGCATCAATCCCCTCAACTAGCTTAGCTTCGAAATATTGTCTTCTTTTGATGGATATATAACTACTTTGTGTGCTACACAAGAAAGATATCCACCCCAACCTGAGTGTCTATATTCTTTCTTTCTTCCTTCTTTTTATTCTTTCCTTTCACCTAACTAGTAAAAACGACATGGCAGCAGAGGCCACACTCATTCCTCTTTATTTATAAGATAGGTTTGGGCATTTGTATGCACCTTAGAGCAACCCAAGAAAGCCAAAAAGGAGAATTTGAGGCTGAGGGAAAGAAGAGATGGCATCTTGGGTTATTAGTGCACTATTGCTTTTGGCTTGCTTGTTTCCTTCATCCGTAGAGTGCATGGTTCGACACTACAAGTTCAATGTAAGTACACCTCATTTTTGGTTCATGTTGAGTTATATATACAACAAATAACATTCTTTTCTTAAACTCTTGCATATCCCTCCTTAATTAATTGAATTCAAAATGTTGTTTGGTATTGTATTTAAATAGTTGCATTGTCCTTAAAGGGCATAAACCCTGCTAATAATGGCATGGCTCTAGCTAGCTACCTGCCCTGTTGAGTGTTGAGCTACAAATTAATTAAGACAATATGTTCTCTACATGAGATCCATATATGCACATTTGTTCATTTCCGTAATACCATTTGTGTTGTGGATCGGAGGACTTGAACCTAATTGGATTCTTTGATGGTACAAGGGTACCTAGAAGATTTTTAAGATAATTAATACCATTTAGGTGATTTGCATGGCAATAAAAAAAAAAAAGAAAAAAAGATGAAGATAATACTATCATTAAGGATAACTAATCTCTCAACGCTATGTTTCTGGCCCAACTTTAAATCATTTCCCCATGTATCAATTCTCATGCACGTTTTTGTCCCTTCGTCAATTTGTCAGGATTGTATTTATCCACCTAAATTCAATCTTATATTGCTCTTCATGTTAGCCATTCAAGACATTGACCCAACACTAAAATTCATCTCTTATATATCAGAAGTTAGCCATTCAAAAGTATAAAAATTTAAAATAAGTGGATTGTTACTTAATCTGCTATTAATTTATTTGAAACCTTAAAATAAATATATTAAGATATAATATTGCTATGTATATAAATTTTTAAGAAAATTTTAGCATGTGCTTCATTAATCATAATATTTTTAATTAATTTTACAGAAAATTTTACATAAAATTCATATATTTTTACATATTTCGAAAACAAATATTATGGAATCTTCTTACTCATGTTACGAACCCTTTTTTCATAAGACGGAAAGGGATGGTTAGTTAATGTTAGTTAAAAGCAATTTCACTTTTCACGATGTCTCTCGGGTGGTTGTCTGTAAATGCAGATCGTGATGAAAAATGCCACAAGATTATGCTCGACTAAGCCAATTGTCACCGTGAACGGAAAGTTTCCCGGCCCCACCTTGGTTGCCAGAGAAGACGACACGGTGCTCGTCAAAGTCGTCAACCATGTCAAGTACAATCTCAGCATCCACTGGCACGGGATCCGGCAGCTACGGACGGGGTGGGCGGACGGACCGGCGTACATAACCCAGTGTCCGATTCAGTCTGGACAGAGCTTCGTGTACAATTTCACCATCACCGGCCAAAGGGGTACGCTTTGGTGGCACGCACACATCCTCTGGCTCAGAGCTACCGTCCACGGTGCTGTAGTTATCTTGCCCAAGCGCGGTGTTCCGTACCCTTTTCCCAAACCCCATAAAGAAGCGGTAGTGATTTTGAGTGAATGGTGGAAATCGGACGTTGAAGCTGTAATCAATGAAGCTTTGAAATCTGGGTTGGTCCCTAACGTCTCAGATGCTCACACCATCAACGGCCGCCCTGGCCCTGTTCTGAGCTGCCCTTCACAGAGTAAGAAGGTTCCGATCTGAAACCTCTTAGAATTTCAATTGGAACTTCCTAAATCTCGTTTCTTTAATTTGTTTTCCCTTAGGAGGGTATACATTGCCGGTTCAAGCAGGAAAAAGATACATGCTGAGACTCATCAATGCTGCACTGAATGAAGAGCTCTTCTTTAAGATCGCCGGCCACCAGCTCACCGTGGTCGAGGTCGACGCCACGTACGTGAAACCCTTCAAAACAGAGACCATTGTTATAGCCCCGGGGCAGACCACAAATGTCATTCTGGAAGCCGACCGCCACTCCGGTCAGTACACGGTTGTTGCCTCACCTTTCATGGACGCGCCAATTACCGTAGACAACGTGACTGCTACCGCCACTTTACATTATTCCGGTACTCTAGGAGCCACAGCCACCACCACTTTTGCAATCCCACCTCCGAAAAACGCCACTCCGGTGGCGATGAATTTTACCAGCGCCCTGAGGAGCTTGAATTCGAAGGAGTACCCTGCTGTGGTTCCCTTGAAAATCGACCGTTCCCTTCTGTTCACCATCAGTCTCGGAATCAATCCCTGTTCCACATGCGTCAACGGCCACCGAATTCTGGCGGATATCAACAATGTGACTTTTGTTATGCCGACGATCTCTCTACTCCAGGCCCATTTCTTCAACATAAGCGGAGTTTTCAAAGATGATTTCCCTGGAAATCCTCCTATCCCGTACAATTACACCGGCACACAGCCAACAAACTTTCAGACTAATAGTGGAACTAGATTGTACAGACTGGCTTATAATTCCACCGTGCAGCTAGTGTTACAAGACACCGGCATGATTACACCAGAAAACCATCCCCTCCATTTGCATGGATTCAATTTCTTTGAGGTCGGAAGGGGATTAGGGAACTTCAACGCAAAAAAGGACCCGAAAAATTTCAACCTTGTCGACCCTGTTGAGAGGAACACTATCGGAGTTCCTGCGGGGGGATGGACAGCTATAAGATTCCGGACAGACAATCCAGGTAAAAAGCTCAATGCTTTCAACATCAGAAAATTTGCCAATCATGTACTCAAAATTGATCTCAGGCATGCTCTGTTTTCTCCTTGATTTCAGGGGTTTGGTTCATGCACTGTCATCTGGAAATACACACAACATGGGGACTGAAGATGGCATTTGTAGTAGACAACGGAAAAGGCCCTAACGAATCTCTTTTGCCACCACCAATTGACCTTCCCAAGTGTTAGAGAAATCCCAGATGTAAAGAAACAGGGGAAGAACACAAGAACAGAGAATAATTAATTACAGGACAAAGAAGAATTAATAAGCTGACTCTTTTTTTCGAGTGAGCTAAAGAATGCTGCTCAATGTTGAATAAAAACATACTGAAATTCTTTCCTTTTTGTACATTGGTGATTGATCCTAAGTTCTAAAGAGTTTTTCTATTGAAAAATTCCCATGATTTTACTTTTCTTTAAGATCAACTTGGGACAATGAGATTCAGCAAAGTAGAATGAGAACATCGAACCAAAGTCCGAAAATAAAGAGACAAATGTAAATTGCGATTCCTACTTAGTCACAAGCACGCACAAACAACACAAGACAAGATCATGATGCTAACTAGATATCTAAAAAAGATGAACGCTTTGGTTTGAGTTGACAACTTTAATATGATTGGTTATGTACGGCGTACTGACCTGAGGCTTCATATATAAACAAGGCACCTGAAAGTTAAATAGAATGGATTAGAACAGACAGCACCTTTGAAATTACGAGTTCAAGTGCCAATCTAATTTTTATGACTGATGAAACCGTTCTCAAGCTTATGGCCCAAACATTCATTCCACTGGTTTTGAACCATTCAATAAACTTATGGATTAAAGGCAGTGCCTTGGAAGGATTCTATTAATTGGAGTCGACGATAGATGTTTAATGCTCCTACATCTTCAAATGAACTAAAAAATGCTGGTGTCACTGAGTAGCGGAGACCATGAAGGAATGAATTCTTTGCAACAATTCAGCCTTTATGGAATCGGGAATCATAGCTGCAAAACAAATGTATTTTGTGTTGGGAATTTTAAGCATCACAATTCCATACAAACGGAAGCGATAAAGAAATTAAGACAATAATTTAATGTGGTTCGATTTGTATACCTCTCAACAAGTCTATATTCACGAGAAAGAGAGAAATAAATTCATTATTAAAAAAAAGAGTGCAATAATTTGAAAGCTCTCTCACTTGAAAAGCTCTTAACACCCTAACTTCAATAGAAACTCCCAAATTCTTCCTTATACTATTTCTCACAATTTCTCTCTTTCTTTTCTCTCCCAAGAGTTCTCACTCAATTTCTCTTGCTTTCCCCCACTCTTGCTTGCTCGTTGCCTTTGCATGCATGGGTATTTATAGTGAAAAATCCAACCACCCATGCACCATTTTTCTTTGCTACATTACCACCGGTGCATGATTTTTCTTGCTCATTAAATGGGTCAATATGCAATCTTGCATGATTTCAACAAAGCAATCCTAGGCCACAACTAGCTAGGTTGGTGAAGAAATTTCACCACATGGAAAGTCCATGTGTTCACATGCATGGGGTTGGACTTTCTACCAACAATCTCCCCCTCCAACCCCATGGGGGGAGAAACGAACCATGACTCAAGCTCCCCTGCTCAAAAACACTTTATCATGGTGTCTTATTTTTGAGAGTTTCCTCCTAGTATAGGATAAGAGTGCATTACAGAAATTAATTTTGGACCAAAATATGATTTGAGGGAAAATCACACCTCCTCGAACCATCATCAAACACCACTTCATTGTTGAAGCTCACTTTCTTCTTGGTCTTATTAATTTCCTTGCCATCTACCAAGATCCTTTTAGGCTTCCACACCATTTTCCTCATGGTCTTTGAGCCCTCTCTCGGGATGTTGCTCAAGCACATAGATGTTGTGCTTGTTCTTCCTTCCATGCAAGACAAGTCTTTCACCTTTGTAGTCCTTGCACAATTCTTGCTTTCTGACATACTTGCACCATTGTGTTCTCAACTCACTCAAAGCAATAATATTGCTTGAACACTTTGGCACATATCTCACATTCTTGAGAATCTTGGCTCAAGTGTTCAAGCAATATTATTGCTTTGAGTGAGTTGACAACACGAGGGTGCAAGTATGTCGGAAAGCAAGAATGGTGCAAGGTTTACAAAGGTGGAAGACTTGTCTTGTGTGGGAGGAAGAACAAGCACAACATTTATGTGCTTGAGCAACATCTCAAGAGAAGGCTCAACAAGACCATGAGGAGGATGGTGTGGAAGCCTAAAGGGATCTTGGTAGATGGCAAGGAAATTAATAAGACCAAGAAGAAAATGAGCTTCAACAATGAAGTGGTGTTTGATGATGGTTCGAGGAGGTGTGATTTTCCCTCGAATCATATTTTGGTCCAAAATTATTTTCTATAGTGCACCTATTGTAGGTTTGTCCTATCCCATACTAGGAGGAAACTCTCAAAAATAGGACACCATAATGAAGTGTTTTTAAGTAGGGGGAGCTTGAGTCATGGTTGGTTTCTCCTTCCATGGGGTTGGAGGGAGAGATTATTGGTAGAAAGTCCAACCCCATGCATGTGAACACATGGACTTTCCATGTGATGAAATTTCCTCATCAACCTAGCTAGTTGTGGGCTAGGATTGCTTTGTTGAAATCACGCAAGATTGCATGTTGGCCCATTTAATGAGCAAGAAAAATCATGCACCGATGGTAATGAGGCAAAGAAAAATGGTGCATGGGTGGTTGGATTTTTCACTATAAATACGCATCCGTGCAAAGGCAATGGGCAAGCGAGAGTGGGGGAAAGCAAGAAAAATTGAGTGACAGCTCTTGTGAGAGAAAAGAAAGAGAAAAATTGTGAGAAATCCACTATTAAGAAAAAGAGTACAATAATTTGGAAGTTCTCTCACTTAAGAAGCTCTCAACACGCTCCCAACAGCCTAACTTCAATAGAAGCTCCCAAATTCTTCCCTATACTCTCTCTTAATCTAGAGCACTTATTGGGAATTTTGAGCACCACAATCCCATGCAAACAGAAGTGATAAAGAAATTGAGACAACAATTTAACATGGTTCGACTTGTACACCCCTCAACAAGTCTATATCCATGAGAAAGAGAGAAATAAATCAACTATTAAAAAAAAGAGTACAATAATTTGGAAGCTCTCTTACTCAGGAAGCTCTCAACAGCCTAGCTTCAATAGAAGCTCCCAAATTCTTCCCTATAGTCTCTCTTAATCTACACTAGGATTTCTCACAATTTCTCTCTTTCTTTTCTCTCACAAGAGCTCTCACTCAATTTCTCTTGCTTTCCCCCACTCTTGCTTGCCCATTGCCTTTGCATGCATGGGTATTTATAGTGAAAAATCCAACCACCCATGCACTATTTTTCTTTGCCTCATTACCACTGGTGCATGATTTTTCTTGCTCATTAAATGGGTCAACATGCAATCTTCCATGATTCCAACAAAGCAATCCTAACCCACAACTAGCTAGGTTGGTGAAGAAATTTCACCACATGGAAAGTCCATGTGTTCACATGCATGGGGTTGGACTTTCTACCAACATTCTGTTATTACAACAATGAATACTAAAAAAATGTTGAAGGAGAACTAACATGTTAATAAACCACAAG